TATTTTTTTTTTTTTTTATATATATATATATATTTTTTTTTTTTTTTTGCCATTGCTGTATAACTCCAATTTTGTGGACTAAAATTAGTCACTCCAACATGACCACTGACCGCTTTCCTTATGTTTACCTTTTTAGCCAGACCTGGTATGTATGGCAGGATTTCTTGAAAGTTTTGTTTCCCATTTTGATTTGAGTAATTCTCAGCTCAGCTCACCAATCTGCAATTCTTCTTAATTGACACCTCACTGATCTAATGTAGTCATACATTTTTGGACATGACTTATTCCAGGGAAAAATTAAAAAGCATCTCTCAAACTTTGTGAGAAAGTGTCCGCCACAGGGGGTATTTTATATATATTTCTTTTAGGGGTTTTTTTTCTTTAGAGAATTAAACAGATTTGATGAATCCATCCATCCATCCATTTTCTGAACACCCTTGTCCCTCAGTGGGGTCGGGAGGGGTGCTGGTGCCTATCTCCAGCTAACGTTCCGGGCGAGAGGCGGGGTACATCCTGGACAGGTCGCCAGTCTGTCGCAGGGATTTGATGAATCCATGAGATCTAAAAGAAGAAGAGGGTGGCTAAGTTCTAACACTAAATGAATTCCCAAGCTAATGGTTGGCTGACTACATAAAACTGAAATCCTGAAGCTAACAACCCATGGGCCCTCTACTACACTGTGTAAACCCTAATGATGATGGTATACATAATTTATATTGTGAGTCTATATAAAAAAAAAAGACTAAGTGACAAAACACACGGGAAATGACTCAGTGGACCAGATGTGCATTTCTTTTTTGGGGGTTTCCTCTCTTAGATTTCCCCTCTCTGTGTCTTTTATCTTTCAGTTTGTATGATCATTCTGTCTTCAGTTGACAAAGAAAGAAAATGTGAAGATAGGATACAGCTTAGCATGCTTTGGCTTCTCTCATTATGCTGCATCTTTTGAAGTCAAGCAGGTAAATAAATGATCAGCAGCTGTATTACTTCATTTACTTTGAAGCAACCAGCCACAATCAAAGATCAGATTTAAATGGTAGCATACTGTGCATACTTTGTGAAACTTTCCGTAGACCTATTTTGTTTTTTTATTTTTATGGTCAAATTACACTAAAGGTGCATTCAAACACCTTCACTCATGCTTAATTTGGGTACATTTGCTAACAGTATTAAAAATATAACAGCATAAAATTTTATTTTGTAATATTTTACTCTGCAATTGCACTTTTGCTTTGTTCCCAAGCTCAACGAGTAATCACATAAAATGATCTCAGTCAGGTCTACAACATCAGGAAATTGTTATAATTGGGATATTAATGTTGAATATTGTGATGACAATTGAGCTAAATTTTCCTCACTCCTCTGCAAGCTGTTCCCTGAGTTGAGAGGCTAAGCTCATGTTCATTCTTCTAGCTTCATGCAGAGTGGTTCTAAAATTTTTCTGACTTCAGCAAACCTTGGTTAGCATGCAAAGATAAAGGTCAGAGAAAAAGCAATGATTCTGTACCTTCTTTCTAAATCAGTTGCATCAGATCATGGAATGTTAAAAAGCCTTGATCATCCACCATGTCAGAGAAAGATGGACACGTCTAAGGCTTAGTAGTTACTCAACTCTGCCATTTATAGCAGTGAAGCGCCCGTCTGTACTACCTAATGGTTGCTCAACTTCTCCATTAAATTTGTGTCTTTTAAATATTTTATTGTGAATAAAACTCTGCAAGAAGTGGCAGTAGCATGTTGTAGTCTGTAATCATTTTCCTTCTTCCCTGCTGTCATTATGTAGCCATGAAGTAGGCCTCTGTTAATCTTTCTGCTGCTTTGAATTGAAAAACCCTGTTGGGCTTTAGAGAACTACACTCAGCTCTCTGGTGCCCAAATGTTGAAAAGCACACACAAGCTTGGAGTTAAAACTACATCAGCTGGTTGGTGCTTCCACACAGGTTAAAGGTTCTGCTGTTTCTGTGGGAATCTAAACTGCTGAATGAATGACCATACCCTCTTGTGTAATAATTACTGTGTGGTGTGTTGATCAGAACATATACCAAGTGTGAAGATTTGCTACCATTGTTCAACACCTTAGTTCTTTTACATGGCCTTTTGAGAAAGCAGCTGGGTGATGCAGTACATGGTCACTAAGCTGTCTGGGACTGTTCTTGATCTCTGCATAAGTCTAAAAGTTTCAATTTATGCACAATCTTGATCTTTAGATGTTGTACACATTGCTTAAAACATATTAAAACTAAACGGTACTATAATTTTTAAATGTCCCTAGGGGAAAAAATAAAGCCATTGTGGACAAACGGGGTTCAATATCAATGCTATCTGAGGTCCTGACCTTTGGGGGTCACATTGTTAAGTTTGACTGCTTCTGGAGCTAAACTGGTATGAAAGCAAAATACAGGCTCTTCGATTAGTGTTGGTGTCACCATCAGTGTGTGTAACATGACCGAGCTCAGCTGGAACTGAGGTCATATTGATTGGGCAACAACCCCAGGCTGTCTTATGATACTATCAATTCTCCATTGTATCAATTATAATTGTGGCTGAAAATATTCCAAAGGTAAAGACATCTCTCAGGATTGGGGTACAAACACTGGGAGAGTATACCAGATCATATGATGATGATAATTCGGGAATAACACAAAAGTCTCTGAAAAAATGAACAAGTCATTTTCCGGTGTCCAGAAATTTCACATGAAACATAAAGCAGACTTGTTCAGGTCCACAATCCTCTTCCTGGTATCTTGCCAATTTTATTTGATGTTTCCGTGATGTCGCCCAACAATCCAGTCTGTTTGGGGTGTTAGATAAGAAAAACAGAAATTACAGGTCATCCACAGATGGGTTTCCAGTTGTATCAAATGATATGGATTGCCCTAGAAGAGGCTTTCAAAGTCATCACTACCCAAATTGTCCAATTTGTTAAAATTTTTTGGTGTGTAAACTTGGTCAGTGTAAATCTGAGTTGAAACCAGGTCAAAAAGTCTTTCTCCCTTTTTCTACTAAGAAGTCATTGTGACTGGAAAAATATTTCTCTATGCCATTTGTAATGTATTCAACTGTAAAATTCTCACTCTGTTTCTTGTGTATTAGTTCCCCCAATGTAACTATCTTGTAGGTTTTCATTATTACTATCAAAATATGAATTTTTTAAAATGCATTTTGACATGCAGTCAGAAGTCAACCAAACAAACTGTTTTAATCACAATAGGAAGACAAGTCCCACAGTATCTTTAGGGTCTTGGGTTGTCGCAAGTCTTCTGTGGTCGGTAACTAATGTGAGTCTGTTGGAGCGCTCTCTGCCAGTCTCTTCACATTACTTGATGGATCTTTCTAACACAATTTGCATCATAACCAACATGTGCATGTTGGAGTTTGTTCAGTGAGTCAGCTTAGAGGAGGTGGCACTGATGGAGTCGTGATTTTAAAATAATGAATTGGGACGCTGCATGTGATACATGAGTTTCAGAACAAAATGGCCAAAATGATTACCCATGAGAGAAGATGTTACATAAACCTCAAACTCCCACATTTTCATGTTTTACAGCATTTACAGACTGTGATGGAAATAAAGATTACAATTTGAAATGTTATCAGCTAGCTCTGGTATTTTATAATACTATTTCTTAAACATTTAAGGTTTAAGACTTCAGCCAGCTATAAAGCGAAAGTGAACTGCAAGGAGGAAGTCACATGTGATTTTCCAAGCAGTTCTTTGGTCTGTTTGTGTAACCACAGCGGTACTTCAGTCTCTCGCTCTCTGCCATCTTTTTTGCTGCTACTGCGTCTGTCCCTTGCATGGAGGCAATGTGGTGGATAGCTCACTGCCTTCCTGCTGCTCATAATAGCCAGTGTGTTGTGATACTGCCCCAAACAAGCAGTTGTTGCAACTAATGTTATCCAGCCCATTCAGTCCATTTCTAAAAGTCCAGGGGGAAAGTGAACCAAACCAAGTGAAGGTGACATTTTTTGGCAATCCCCTGCACAGTAAACGGTCCTTGGTACTATTCTGATTTGAAAGGCAATAAGATTAGGCCACTTTACATCAGAAACTCAAACTTGAAGTATTTGATTCCAGATCAAAGTTCAGTAAGCTAACTGGGCCTTAAGTGCTTTGGCTTGTTTGTCAGGTATGCCAGATGGGTTTTTTTATGATGATGTGTACTGTTTCTTTTAATCTTTAATCTTCCTTATAAGTTATTCTTTACTCAGAGCTGCTTTGTTTTCTGAAATGCTGGGTAAATATAAGCACACAACCTAATCACGACAGTTCTGCAGGAAAATTGTTTAACTTGTAGGTTAAAAGCTTTTACAACCTCTCTCGTGTTCATGCAAATAAATATACTGACTTAGTGGAAGGCAGATGTTACTTAAAAAAGATTAAAAACTACATTGTAAAAGCAGCCAATGTAGAACAAAAACATCTTCAAGAGCAGTTCATATTTCTACATATATTATACATTTTGCATAATTGAGTGAATGTTGGGATGCAGTCTGTTGCCAAAAACACTTTGAAACTTGGTTATTAATTATTCCACATTGTAATTAACATTAAACTCAAACGATAGTGAATGTATACTAACAGTTGGTGTAAAACGAAAAAAGAAATCATCTCTTCCTCACCTCAAAGAATTAGTATTTTTATCTCGGTTTAATTGTATTGAACGTGAATAGGACACAATGGTAGCTATTTGCGGTCATAGTGGTAGCCATGAAAAGCCTCCACTTCATCCCGTACTTTCTCTGATGTGTAAAATTCTAAGAGGAACTACTGAATAATGTAAGAGCCTCTTGCTCTGCCACACCGTATGCTTTATTTGTCTAGCTTGTGTTATGGGTTGGAGGTATCTGGGAAGAATAGAAATTGATTATGCGTGTTTGACGAAAACACTGCAGGACTTGGTAAAAGCAAAACAGTACACCACGCATACTATTGACCTGGTTGGATGGGGAAATAAGTCTCAGAGACACAAACCCTGATTGTTGCCAAAGAGGATAAATGGCTTTAATAGAGAAAACTCCAGGCTTTATTCCAGAGGAATAGGCATTGGACATACATATCGACTCATCTGGATTCAAGGGATTTCTCCGTGGGGGGGAACTTTCATCCCAAATAAAGAGTCAGCTTTGTTTAGCACAAAGTATGTAGCTAGTGATCTAAATGTGTGAATATGTCTGCATCGTCTGCATCTTTTCAGGCTTGTAAGGGTGTCTCCGATGAGTACATACTGAAGTCATTTTTTGTTGTTCACGCTCATTATGAATGATTTGGGAAATAATTCACTAAACATTAGCATTCATCTAACTGTGATGTCAGTTGTGGTATTGTTGTTTTTGTGCAACTTAACGATGTACACCAAACCAAAAATGTTTTCTTTAAGAGTTAAATTTGCAAGCTTTTTTTCTTAAAAGTTCACATAGTGACAGACCTGACCCCTTAAATGGTCTTTCCTTTCATAACTTCTGGATATTTGCAAACACACCGTCCAAAGCTAGCTTAATACTGCTGTAGTCTGAGATCCTTTATATGGACACATGTGAAAGTAAGACGGTGGTATAAAAATCCTTCTCACGTGCAAAGGCTTTTCTGTGCAGAGAGTATGCTTATTCTGTTATGTTATATAACACCTCACAAGTCTGTATCATTGCAAATAGCTTTTTTTACATTAAGGGGATTAGGATTGATATTCAACTTAGCTGTAAGGGGAAAAAATGGGTCTCTGCTCAGTCACAAGTCAGGAAGATGAAGCTCAGCAGTATGGAGAGCTTATCTACTTTAATGGACATGTCTGCAGCAGAGAAGGCTGCAGCACCATCCATGTTTTCCTTCTTGTTCATATTGGTAGCACTACAGTACGAAACATTTTCGGTAACACTTTATTTGAAGGGGGGTGAATAAGACTGACATGACACTGTCATTACCATGAAATAAAACCTGTCATGAACATGAATAAGCCTTCATGAACATTTATGACTGTTGTCATAAAGCCTCATTCGGTAAATTATGACCCTTTTAATACAAAGTTGACATTATTCAAAATGTCTTTGTTATGACAATTTGACATTAACCAGGAAATCATTACTGATATAAATTTGTTATAAAAGTATTATTGATTGCTCTTTAAAAATTAGGTAACTTTATGTTATTAAAGGTAAAGTTTAAACAGTAACCCCCTTCAAATAAAGTGTTACCACATTTTCTAACCTTGTTAGAATAATAGAAATTGAGAACAATTTGGAAAAAAACATTCAGCAATCCTTTAAGTTTTTGCTGCAACTGAAGACAGGCAAACTTTGGCTTATTAGCATAAATCATCATAGAAAATCCATCATATCTAAGCTTTACTATCTGTTGTTTTGAAGGACATGCCATGTATTCAGGTGAAAACAAAGTCTGTAGGAATGAAGCATTTCTGCAATCAGAATGACTTCACTTTATTTAAAGGCTGCCCCATTAATTATGAATTTAATGTGTTCTTTTTTGTTGTGGACAAATATGTTTGTCACATTGCTATATAGCGGGACAAATGGGACAACATTTTGCTTCTTAAATGAGAAGATTTTTTTTTGTATTTAATAACTTAATGTCTTTACTTTGAAGTTAAACCACACTAGGAATTAAAGATGTATTTCTGGATGGGCCACCTAGTACTTTACTTTTCACCATTCAGTCCACCAGTTACCACAGTTATCTTATATCTGGCTTTAATCTAAATAGTAAACCTTTTATGTATGTGTTTTGTTTGCATATTTGAATGCATGGAAGAATCGCATACGTTTTATCAGAGTTCATAAACCTGTGAGATTAGACTAGACCCCAGAATGTAAAAATCCTGTTTGATGTAAACTGCATGAGCTCACTCTGTGTAAATGAGTCACTGCTATAAAAATCCACACCATGCCGCCCTGGTAGGATAATCAGGACATAATGTTTCACTTCATTGTATCAGAAAATATCATTTTTTTTACATCCAGGGGGAATTTATATATTGTAAACAGATTATTCTGCTTTTGTTTTATATTAAGCAATATTTAACTTCGATGTGCAAGTCCACCTGCCTCAAGTATGAGTCATCAGGGTCCCATGTCGGTCATCAAAGGATCTGCTGGGAGTTAAACATTTGGATACGGAGTCTGAAGTACCGAATAAAATCAGACACCTCACTTCTCAAATTCTAATTAAAATAGATAAAACAATTTGGAGCACCATTGTTTTTTAACGTTTGTCATTTTCACTGTCATTAAACGATTCCCAAGGTTTCTTTCCAAGCAGCCATGAACACTGCGTGCATCATGTGGAGCCATGTTTTAAAAAACTTTAATAAGAGAACAAGATGAATCTGGAACCAGAAGAGCTCTAAACTTGGCTGGAGTCTGTTTTCTATCCAACATCAGCTCATTTTCCTCATCCTAAAAGCTGTAAGATATTTTGCCCTTGAACACAAATACAATTCAGGGCAATAATTATTATTTAAAATCTAAAAAACTAATAGTCATCCAAATTAAAATTAAACTTACTTTAAGCTGCTTACAAATTCCTTGATAATGTTCCCTTTTTCTTTTCAGTACATTTTGCTTGGCTGTTTTTAAGTAGTCTGGACTGCAATCAAATTATAATTAATCATCTTTAGTTCAAAATGATTATCATCATTAATTTTGGAACTGCAAAGTAAGAAACCTATAACTTTTTGAAGCTGAATTAAAAAAAAAAAAAACATTTCTCAATGGATAGTCTACATATTTCCATAACTGACTGTTCATAAATGCCAAGTGGGGAGGAGCGTGTGAGGGGGAGGAGAAGTGCAGCCTCAACTTTCCCAGAGGCTCATGCAAGCGTCAGTTTGTGTTATAAATCATTCAGAGACTCTCAGAAGGGGCACAATACATTTTTATCTCTGCTCTCTCATCCCTCCATCCTATCGCCCTGTTTTATTATTGAATACAGTTCCTTTGAGCACACAGTCTGCCACACGGCTCCATCAGAATCAACGAGCGGGCAAGAGGTTGGAGGTTTAACTAAGAGCTCAAAAGAAAAGGGTGACAATTTAGGTGAAAAGGAGGAGACAAAACATCTAATTTATTCAGAGTTCAAAGAAAAGTCACAGGGTCATTACAGAGCTGAATAATGTTTACGCTTCAAGACTGTAGGGCTACTTGTAGGGAGTTTGTTTCTGTTTTTAGGCCAGTCTGTGTTGCGGAAAGGTCAGCTCGTGTTCGCTGGTAATACTGAATGCTTCACCACCTGCTTGTCAGGACAAAAACGGCGCAGTAGCTGACAGCGCTCTTCTGTCAGGACAACTCGCTCAGATTTGATACGTCTGTGTGGGTGAAGGAGAAATACTGTTTGTGCTTGCTGGTGGGTGAACAACCGAAAGGTTGTGTTTGTCCAGATTGTTGTGATCTGTCATTGAACATTAATAGGAGGTTCATGAAGAACTTGTTCAGCAGCACACAGAGGTCAAATCCCCTCCATTCCTCCGCTGTGCAAAATGGTTTTAGGTGGAAGCTCTGATCTTTATGACCCACAGCATAAATAAGCATAAACAAGTAGAAAAACCCCCAGATAAAATATAACACCTGAAGTTTTATTATAAAAGCTGATAGAGTAACTGGCAGATACTGAAGGGATAATAACCACTGACAAATACCAAGGAGATTTTTAATGCCAGTTGAGTCATTTCACAGTATGCTCATCCTGTGGTTATATGGAAGCTCTGCATGTGTTTGCACAAGGCGAGTATCACTTTTATCACTCTTATCTCTTGTTTTATTAGCCATTCAACGTAAGGAACGTTTTACACAAAAAATGCAGCTCTGATAAGAGTGAATAGAAAGCAAACATCATTTTGGTGTGTGGCGTATTTGCCAAACATTTCCATGAGCTCATAGAATCTCTTTGCAGTCTCACTGGATGAACTATAGAGCAAGGCTGCCACTAAAAACCATTTTTTCCCCTATCAACTGTTTTTTTTATTAATTAGTCTAAGAAATAAGTCACAAGTAATTTAGTTATATTTATCATCTACTTCACTCAGCAAAAAAGTGACTCCTCCAATAAAAACTTAACACAGTGTTGTTTAAGTTAAAGACTCAGAATATTCAGTATGTTGTGAACACCAAAAGAAAATATACGGTATACAATTTAACTGGAGAAATATAGTGTCCCAAGGAAATGGTTCTGTAAAGAAACTGTTTACAAATCCTAAAAGATTTTTACATAAAATCACCAACATTTCTAATGTCGATACATACTTATGAGACAAAAGTTATTATGCATAACTCTCTACAGGTGTCTTGGATCTTGTGCCAATTTGTTTTCCTGGTTAATGTTGGTTTGACAAATATTTAAAGTCCACATTCAACATTTTCTTTCCTGTACGTAATAAAGAGCCATCTAACAAGCTCCTTTCTTCCTTTCCTTCTTCCCCATTAAACCTCAGGAACAGTGTTATTCCAGTCATGAGGGAAGCTGACAAAACTGCAGTTCTGGGTTTATTCTGAGGAGAGTGGAAAGAAGAGGGAGACTGAGGATAGGCTAACACATCCTGTCACACGTTTCTTACCGGTAAGTCGTCGTCATGCACCTCATTCTCTGTTGCTTTTGCTCTCATTTTCTTTGTTATACTCATCCTGTCACTTACTTTTCACCACTGTAAGCAAACATTTTACCAACCAAGGTTTTTGTACCGGTGCATGCTCTCACACAGAAATGCTCTTCTTTGCACAGTTACATAAACAAACAGGACAGCTATGAGCCACCCTTATACTGGGTCCTGGTTTGCCTTGTGTTGAAAGCTCAATGCGAACACACAACAGGGTTAATCTTTTCTTCTGGCTTTTGCAGCACACTTTCTTAATTGTGTCCCAAATTTTTATTTTGCAAAACCACATCACTCATTTCTATTTGTCAGATAAATGTAGTCTATTTAGTTTATTGAGTATAATAGTTGTGTGATCTTAAAAGACTTTTGGTGATATTTTAAAGTCAGAATTCGATACTTTGTTTTTCTTTAGGTGTAGTTTTGCTAAATAAACTCCATATTGTATCAAGTGATGAAAGCCTGAGGTTGATCCGTTGTTTTTGAGATCTTTTTGATTTGAGCAATAACATAAATCTGTCTTTGCTGCACAGAGAACCTTCAGCGATCATTATAATTTGACCAAAAGTCAAGTGCGCATGTGTTTGCGTGTGTGTGCAAGGCTGTTGGCAACCCTTCCTGCTCTACTGAATCACATGCTGGTTGGTAAATAAAGATTAGAGAGATAGACTGTAGTTGGACGAGTAACTTGACTCTGCAGGCATAAAAGTTTGTTTTCAGGTGTATTGTTTTTTCTTAGCAGATGGCCTGCTAGTTCAAAGTCAGATAGTAGAGTTGAATAATTATCCTCTGAAAATGTTGGTGATATAACAAAGGCATTGCAATCAGGGCTGTATATGAACCAAAACATGTGTCGCTTTTTAAATGGATGTATATCTGACTCATCATACAGCTGCAGTCAAACTGCAGTGAAACTCTCTTGCTCCTGCTGATGCTCCTTGTGTCGAACTTTAAGTTAGTGCTGTGCTAACACTAGCATGTCTCCTTTTTGGTTCAATATGATTTTATTAAACTTACAACATATCACATTTGATGTGAGGAAAAAAAAATCCTTGCTGTTATCCTAATTTGGATAACAGCAAAGGGTATAACCAAAGATAAGTCATTAAAATACCAGCAGAAATGTTTATAAAGCTGGACAACAATTTTTAAGAAGTGCTTCAATGCCCTAGTGCTAATTAAAACTATTCTACTGATTTATATTTCTACATTTTATGGGTATAAATAGTTTTCTGTCTACAATTTTTTTAGGTAATATCTAAAAATCTGATTTTTAAATTTTTTAAATTCTTTTTACACCAATGAAACTCCTTTTGTACACACTGAAACTGTAACAATGATTGTGATTTTGATATATTGTGCACCATGAGAAAGAAAGATAACCGAGTTTCTGCCACCGCAGTAGAGCAATGACATTTGAATAAAATGACTGTGCCATTCCACACGTTCAGATAGTTTGTATTTGTGTAAATTCTCAGAATAAGCCAACTTCACAATTCATACTGAAACAGCTGTTTCACATGTACTGCGTTTAAATTTCCTCCTCGTTAGCAAGCTGGTATTGTGCTTAAAATAAACTTTTTTTATTATTCATACAGTAACGAGGCTGACCCACTTATTGTAACGCAGAAGGCACACATATTCATACGCAAGCATACGTCTCTCACACACACACACACACAAACACACACACACACACACACACGCAGTGCGCTCTGAGGACTTTGATTTCTTCTGAGATGAGAGGCTCTGCTCACAGTATGTTTTATCTGTATTTATGATACAGAATTATTAAAGTGCACATTATTATTATTATTATTATTATTATTATTATTATTATTATTATTATCCAACCACTCACTGACAAACGCACAGAGAAAACTTAAAGTCCTAAGCCTGCTCTTTAGAATGCCATGGTAGGAGTTAAGGGAGCTGGATTATTACTTAATTCTTATGCTTTCACTTTGACACACATAAGTCTCATAAACTTCATCAGCACAGTTCTTTTCCCCCACCATTACTGATTAGGTCTGGCAATTTGAATCCCAGTAAGAATTCCCACAGTCTGTCTAATTCCTGTTTGTGTCTAAAGCTGGGAGGGGGTTGGCCTAAGCTGATAAACCCCCTGGCCATGCAAACCCACACACACACACACACCCACGCATGCAGACGCACATATGTACGCTTGTGTGTTCTCTCTACACATCTCAGCTGTATCTGTGCTAATGTATTTCTTTCCACTCTGTACATTGAAATGTGTTAATATTAATGTTCATGCTTCTGTGTGCTTCTCTGTGATCACATACACTCACTGTCAAACAGAACCTCAGAAGGAGGAATGGATTAAATGAATGATGAAGGAAGAACAACATTTTCTTTATCTTTCTTTTTCTTGTTTAAGAAAAAGGAAGATTAAAGAGGAAATCTTAGCAAAGAGACATGAAAGAACTGATGAAGCCCAGAGACCAGCGGGATAAGATGGAGTTTTAAAGAAGCCTTTTACGCATCCAAGTTATCAATGTATTCAAATGCACACATTGTCATCAGATAGTTTCCTCCTTTTTGTTTCGCTATGTGATTGTGTTACTAATTAGGAACTTGTTTGTGCTTTACATGCAATGAAAGGCATTTTAACACAAAAATAAATGCTTTTGGTTATTAGTTAAATTCTAAATTTGGCAGCAATAGATCAAAGTTTACAAAATTCAATATGGAATTTTTTGCAAATAAAAAAGGTTTTTTATCTTTTAACTTTGAATCTTTGAAAAGTACTGTTTACTCTTGATCAAATCCTTCATTTATTCATTCATTGTATTGTAGTTGTTTCTGAAAACTACAAAACCCTTGATGTAGGGCAGTAAGCAGCCCTGTTGAGAGGAATTTAAAGCTTTTTTATTTCTGTGGGAAATAAAATGTTATTGTTGGTTATTTTCAATCAACTGCTTCATCATAAAAAAGTTTATGTTAAAAAGGTTTTGATTTCATCAGTTAACCTAAACCCATTAATAACTTTTGTGAGACTTACTTTATACTATATTTGAAGCAATGTAGCCTAATGCTGTAAATGTAAAGTACAAGATTTGCATGCCAGCGCTAAAAACAGAAACTACAGTGGAAAAGATGATGAACTAAAATTAAAGGTAAATTCAAGCTGTCATGAAGATAACTTACCGTACTACTGTGAATAATTTAAATAAACCTGAATTTTTATTCATAATTGTCTAAAAGGTCTTGCATTTAAATAATTTTACTTGTACAGAGAAATATTTTCTCTGCATAATTAGCAAAGATAAAACAACATAATGTCTAAATAATCAGGCTTATTAATCCGTGCCCACAATAAACCTGGTCTTTTAATTACAATCTGGCATATCAATTAGTATAGCACAAGAGGCTTAGAAAGGAGGAAGTATCTGTATGTTTGTTCATGTTTATGCATGTCTTATGTGAGCATATTGACCCACATTTAACACATGGATGCTTTCATGTACATGCATACATGTATAATTACTGGAATGAGGCTGAAGTTAATCTTTGGCCCTTTTATTTTGTGTGTGCATCTAACGTAACGGTTGAAAATTATTTTTTTCACTAGTTTGAGAGGAGCATCAAGTTCATGAATTATTTTTGAGTTGCATCATAAAAAATACAGTTTTGGATGTGTGTTTGATATATGCAAAATATCAGGCCATTTTGGGATAAATTCTCTAATCTCCTCTTTACAGATTAAAGTTTATATACTGCATCATCTGTAATGGATCATTGCAGAGACTGCAGTAATCATGCACAGACAAACCAAATGAAGATGAGTAATGTGGCCTTAACTTTTATTGATGTTTTTTGTTTTTCTTTTTTTTTTTAGTATTTATTCCACAAATCCACAGTTTCTGGCTACACATCTGTCACTACACTCTAGAGCAGGGGTGTCCAAATTGTGCCCGGGCACAAATTTTGTGAGGCCCCTGACTGCAATTTAAGGACGGTGGATGACGCAGACGGAGACTGTTTATTTTTAGTTTTCTGGCACAGTTATTGCCAACAAGTTAAAATCTTGTTACATTGGAAAGTGTTAGGTACAACACAAAGCTTTCATCTTTTAATAACCACACTTTTTGCATTCTCCTTAACTTATAGTGGAAATGACTACATTTGTTGTAACCAAAACTACTTTTGATTAATTTATTAAGTTTTTCTAAAACTTAATATTAAGGAATCTAAAAAGATTGACTCAAGTCTTGTTCTCATTGCTGAGAATAAGCTAAAATTCTTTATATTTATTTCAGTCAAGCCCAAAATATTTTTTTCTTCTTTTTATTTATGGCAGACGTACAAAACCCCACACATCCCTAAGTATCCCTAAGTATTTCATTCTTAGTTTGATGTTGGGCAGCTTAAAAAAATCGTCATATAATTGTTTAATTTAAAATTTTCATTATTATTTTTTTTTCCAAATTCTTTTGTTTTGACTAGATTATTTTGACCCATGTGACAAAAAGACACCACTGCTATAGAGTCACCAACATAATAAACTGTTAGAAAATGTTACTTCCCCTTTGACACTGAATAAAACAATCAAATGGAGTCCCCACAACACTATCATTTTTAGGGGGTTGCCATTGTCATAGCACAATTTTGATCATGGGAAATCTTTATCTTGACAATAGAGATAATACAATAATGCCTATCCCCACTGATATTTTGTGGGCAGCTGGTACAGTTGTGTAGTAGTACACATGTAGTAAATAAATCACACAGCACAGATTTAATCTGCCTAAGCTATTTGCCTAATCAGCTCTTTTAGAACAATACTCTTTATAGATTCAGACACGTGCACACACACAAAGCGGCATTCTTTACTGGACTGGTAAGAGCTTTACCCTGTGTTACAACCTGTTGTTGCCAAGTTGCATCACTTATCAGAGGAAAGGAGAGGAGGACAGTAGAATGGAGCAGTAGCAGGTGGGATGAAGCATCTAATGATCACATAATGTGATGAAGCCGCTTCTGTGTTTTGTGTCTGTCTTTAGCAAACTTTGCTTTTTTTTCTTTCATTTTATTGCTTCCTCACATTTTGACATTCTTTGTCAAGAAATCTGAACAAAAACTTAACACAAATAATAATTTCGCAAATAGTGAAATTACTATTTGTGTGTATTCATGTGTTTAGTTGTGCAGTGGGTGTGTGTTTCATGAGGAGAGAGTTGAAATTGATGTTGAGCCAGTTACTATCTGGAGAACTCAAAAAGGAGAGATGAGAGGAAGAGGGGCTGATGCAACCAGAAGACAGACAAATACAGACTAACACAAACGGACACACTGCTTCGTTCCTCAGGTCAGCAAATAGACAATACATTTGTACACATTGTGAAATAAATACCATTCAGAAAAAGATGCAAGCATTAGAAATAAAAGTGTGGTTCTTTTTTGCTTGAAGGTATGTCCACGTTTGTGGTTTTCACATTTCTTCAGTCCCTGTTTTACCAGCTTTAAGCAGCTTTTTTTCTCTCTTTTTTTGGATTTTTTAAAAATAATTCACTGAGAACACAGCAAAGCTCTTTTGGGTGATTTACAACTTTCTTGTCTGCTACATAAGATTTCTTAAGTCCCTGAATCACACAAACCTTTAAAAATGCTTGATAGGCCTTTATTTATTTTCTTATTTTTTATCAAGGATCTTGATTGTATAAAGTTTTTTGTTATTTACCAAACGTTCACCCTAGGCTTAGTCTGATGCTAGTGAGACAAAAATAAAATCTATATTTGACTTTAATGTTGGTAACATGTAAACTTGCCAATAGGATTTTCACATCATCTAAATGGGAAGGATGAAATGGAATCTGTTTTCATAAGGTTCGCAGCATCTTTTGTATGATTAAAAAAGAAGAATCATCCCAGTATGATTTTTTTAATGATACAGTATTTTAAAAAAGTTCCAATTGTAAATATTGAAACTAAATGATGGTATCATTCTTTGATATCTTTACAACTTTACTATTTTACTCTAATTTGTCACTTAAGAGGTCCTGGCACCAGCAGGACCTCTGACCACCACCCAAGGTCAGTTAAATTAATTGTGATTAATGAATCGTTTGATGACCTGAATTCTCAGATTGTATACTTGATTATATACCAGCCCTGATTAGTATGCTAAAGAATGTTTACATGTCAGATTTATCATTTTGTTCATTTTGAAATAACAAAAGCCTGTTGAACTGTTTAACTCCATCTGCTCTCTTTCACAAACACAAACACACAAATGTAATACCAGCAACTGACATTACGTTTTTTGAGAACTCTTGTTTAGTGATGTTAAGCAAATTAATGACATTAAATTGAAGCTTCTTTAATATTAAGTAGGGCATTAATGTTACCCATAACCTGTCTTGTAAAGGAATGAAAGAGATGTGCTGTAATTCTTTTAGACGTGTTTTATTTGTAACGATTCCATAACTGAATGATTCCAAAAAAGTTTTATTCATTTCTTTTTTGTCATTTTCATTGACATAAAGAGACGGCTCTCTAACTTTGGGCTGTGTTTGAGAAGATCATTGTTTTATTTCACCATGGGCATTTAATTCAACAGCAAGTTGAACATTTTTTGTTTATTATAGAAATGAGCTAAGATTAGTATCAGCAGGTCGAGCTGCACAAAAACGGCGATAGGAAATTGGCCACAAAATCAGATTAAAAGAAACTTTTTCCCACTCAGAACCTCAGGACGGTCATCTTTGTGCATCTGGTGCCACTGAGGCAGACTGCACCAAACCTTGCCTTTAAGACTGATATTTCTGGGGTGAGTGTGATGGCTTATATCCCTTTAAGGCCAGAGGATTAGTATGATGCTGATGCTTAGTGTCTTGGTCTGTGTGTCTTGTCAGCCTCCTCTGTGTGGGGCCATCCTTTGGAGCCAGATTTGCTTGCTGCATCTGGCTGATGTGCAGAGAGATTTCATGGTAGACAGAAAAAGAACGAGAGAGACTGAAATCAGAGAGATGCCGTGCGACGGCGCACATGTGTGTGTTGCATGTGCAGTGGAGCTAACTGGAGCAGTTTGTCCAGGACGCATACACGCTTGACGGCCTGGCTGCAGCCTTGTAAAACGCAACACCCTGTGTTGCTGTAAGCGAATGCATGCACATGTACAACTGTTACACACTGTGCATGTGTGGAAGTGATGAATCCATGACTCAACTTCAGCTGTCAGGCTTGTGTGTGTTTGTGTGTATGTCTGCGCAGCACGACAAAGCTTCATCATCATGACTGTCTCTTTTTTTTTTTTTTAAATCACCTACCAACTGCCTGGACTCGCTTATAAAAACACTTAATAATGTACAGACACATACAGGCATATTTTTAAAGAAACCAAGACATCTGTTGAGTTTAACATTGAGTTTTCCCCCAAAACCTGCATGGAATAATGAAAACCTGAAAAGTTGATGAGGTTGTTTTGAACTGTGTTCCCAGGTCTAGCTGGCCAATGCCGGGCCCGTCGTGGATATCTGGTGGCGGTAGCGGCAGCGTGTATGCGATAGCGGTCACCGGCGCCTAGCCCATGTCCAGCCCATGATGCCGTCATCCACACGGAAAGGAGTGACGAAGGATCCCGAGCTGGCTGACCTCTTCTTCAAAGATGACCCGGAGGAGGTCTTCTGTGACCTACATGAAATCGGGCATGGCAGCTTCGGAGCTGTCTACTTTGTGAGTGCTGTCCTAAAAGTTTATCAGTGAAAACAAGGAGTTCAGCATTTGTTTAAGTTCTTAACTGATCAATGTTGCTTCTTAATGTTATTTCTGATTTAATCCCTATTTTCCATCTATAAAACCTTGAGAGTTTTGTAGCTTAAAGTTTTGGCAATAATGCAATTTAAAAATTATTGGCTGCTGATATAACTTTTTAAAGCTTAGCGTAATATACAGCTGGGTTTAAACTCTTTACAACATGACGGAGCATTAATTCACAGATATACTGTTAAAAAACCTAGTTGTTTTACACAACCATTATTTATTGTTAATATATGGATTTAATTAATCTGTAATGACTCTTCAGTTGTAAAATCATCCCCTCTCAGCACATTCTATGCTGCCTTTAATTTTAATCTTCACTAATTACTCATCAGGCCTTTGATTTTAAAGCTGCATGGAGGCGAGATGAGAGAATGTTGCATCTCCGCTCTTTCTTGTCCTCTTACGGATCTTTTTTCTCCACCCCATCCCACACTTCAACCTCAGATGTAGAGCTGGGGCGATCAGCCCCCCTGCATGGTAAACAGCTGCCCTCTTTACATGGAATAAGTGAAGTCGATGAAGGGGCTGCATTTTCTCTACTGCTATGGCTTTGCCATCTTTTTTTTTCCCACCGTCAGTCGCAAACATGTACAAATAACCACAATACATCAAATGTTAGACAAATAATGTCCAGTGCTGTGTTCACTTTAACTTTCTTCTAGCTTAAAAAAAAGTTGGTAATCACAGATCAGTAAACAATAGTGAAAAGCAACAAAAGCAGTTAGTAATGGGAAACAAATACTAAGCAAAATTACATTCTTACAGCTCTCTAGATTTACTTTAAATAAAATATTGATTTTCTATATATTTTTTTAAAATTATTTTATTACTAAGTGTGTAACTCTTGTTACAAATCCTGATAACCTTCTTTCAAAAGAAAGGGTATGTCTGTAATTTATAGACAGGAATGTGCAGTTATTTGCAGCCACTCATTAACCTTAATAGAGATAATTATAATGAGCATATCTGTATTTTAGACAGATCAGAACTTCTCTCATTAATATTTTAGCATCTGCATAGTCATAGGACAAAGAGATTTTAATATGAAAATCAAAGTCAGTCTCTAAAATAAATCTCCTGTGGAAATAATGTCCTTGCTGAAAATCCACTGCTGAATAAAATGCAGGCCATCTGCAAACATGGGAGCCGTGTGGCAGCTGCAAAACCTGAAGCACTAATAATGTGCTGGGATTACTGTAGGTTAGTGACAGTGGAGAAGCACAAGTTCCTGTATGTATGTGCATTTTCTCTGTTTTTAGGAAAATTCATCCACTATAATGGATGTCTATATTTTCTGTGCATAGAATCAAAGATAAACTCTTTTATTGAGGAAAACGGTTTTATATCCAGACCACTTGGGTGTACAGTGAGGAGATTAAATAGTTATTAATGACTAACTCAACCCCACATCTTCTCCCTACATGCTGGGAGCCTTTATGAAAACATTAAGTTTCATTTCAGTTTCACATCATTTTTTTGATGTGAAACTGAAATGAACACACACCACACACACACACACACACACACACTCTCGCACAAATAGATTTAAGTTCCTTCCTGGAAGACGCAGCGTGAGTGATACAGGCACATCATAAACATAAACTGACAGTCAATCGTAGGGATGACATTTTAAAAAAACCCATAAAAACAGCTGTATCTGTTTTCTGCTCTCATTTGAATCAGAAGAAAATACTGATTTATTTGTTAGTGAGCTGAAGCTGAGCTGGGGATTCAGACTCTCCCTTGGGCCAGATGCTTCCAAGGTTAACACCACAGGGTTAAGGTGGTCATGTTGATCTGGGCTGACAGCTCACACACTTTACAGTAGCTACAGAGAAACCATGTGGCATGCACCTGCAGGTTTCCCCTATTTACAAAGTAGGATGCTGTTGTCAGGTGGAAATTTGTTTACTTTCAAATGAGATGCTCTGCTGATTAATTTTGTGGGAGAAAATTGATATTGTGTATGCTGTGTGATCCTTTTTATGGAGGAAATTTATCTAGTCATCCTATGTAACTCCCCACAGCAAATCATAAAGTTAATGTTCAGGGAATACTCTAATCTTAATCTAATGCTTATGTATATCCAGCTGTCTACAGTTGATGTTTCCATTAATATGATTGATTTAAAATTTTACCTGTGTTCTTCAGTCTTTAAAAAAAATCTTACATTTCTTATTCTCAATATTAGTCTTCAAAATGTCTTGAATATAGCTAAATTATTCATACTAGCTTAGATTTAGCTGCCTTTTTTCTATTTTTTCTGCTATTGCTTCCTCCTTTGCATCATAAAATGACTCCTTCACGTCATTATATGCTATAATAGCTTTATTGTAAGCTTTTACAATTAAAATATTGTTATATTATCCATAACAAGCTCATAAGAAACAGCCAATTTGACAAAACAGGGATTTTAATAGTTGGCTAAAACCTATCATAAGTAACAATGTTTTTTGTTTTCCATTTATTTTCCTTTGCAATTTTCCAAAAATAATTTACTTAGTATTCAATGGTTTCATGGTCATGAAATGGCATGACAAGGTAATGGTTGGATATGAACTGGTCAAGGGGTTACTTGACCACACCCGACGGAAATCACTTTACTTCCTAAAACAGCATGTTGCAACTTTGCGTTGTTCTTCCTGGTTTTCTCCCTTCCCAAGTCGTTGGCAAAACTTCCTGTGACCAAGGCGTCCGAAAAAAGAAACCAGAATTCAATTCCACTTAGATTATTTATTTGGTGTTAGTTTATAGCATCACAAGCCACTCTCCAAAACAAACACATTACATACCCAGATGTATATTATCAACCAGACCAATCATATGTATAGATTCAAATTGAGTTACGTACATTCCAGTCATACTTAGTCTATAAAGCTGGATGTTACAAAATTATGTATCTTAGGATACTCACTGATTGTATTAAGTTATTGGTTTTTTGCAACAATACTTCCTGAGAAAGCATGTGGCCATAGTGGAAAGGAAAAAAGTCCCTGTTTTACAGGAAATAACAGGCTTAGTGTGAGCATCAATCTGCTGGGGCTTTGAGAAAATACAGCAGATCCACAAAACCACAACAAAACTAGACCAGCAACGCTATGTTCAGTTAGTGGCATCATCTAGGAAGAAAGAGATTTGCTAAAAAGAATAGATATAACTATTTACAGCTGTAGCCATGGCTTTTTCCATGGCAAACTCTAGGGTCTTCACAGAAAGTTAAGTAGTTCAACACAAATGCAAAGACTAGCAAAAAAAAAAATCAAGAGGTCCTCTGATATCTTGCTGCCTACCCCGTTGTTTTCTCTCAAGTCTGTAATCTGCGTGTTTTTTCTTTCAGGCCCGTAACTCCTACTCCAATGAAGTGGTGGCCATCAAAAAGATGTCCTATAATGGAAAACAGACCACTGAAGTAAGAAAATATTCACAAAGTCAAAACATGTAACTTTCGAATGCTCTGCTGCAGTTTAGTGGTTTTATTCTTCCAACATGTTGCAGAAACCTTAAGTTTGAAGAGGAAATTTTATATGACAAATATGAGCTAGCCTTTCTTTGCGACATAGAGTTTGGAGTTGCATAATATTCCCAATCTGCAATCTGTTTGAACATAGCACGATAAATTGTCTACTACAAAATACCTCCTACTTCAATTAGTTACTTTGAAAGAACTAAATAAAGTGAAAGTGTTTATTCTCCAAAGTTTAGGATGAGCTGTTTTCTGCTTTTTCTTTCCATGTTCTGTTTAGGAACCTGTATTTACAGCCTGTGATGACGGCTTGCACTGTAGTTGAACTCAAGCCCTTATTCAGTGGTTTTGGAAACGTTCTTATTTTATAAATGTATGACAATGATGGGATCGTTTCAGGGCTGTCGCCTGATGTTTTCAGAAGCTTTTCAAACCCAGCCCAAGCTTTATTCTGTATTTTTTGTTTGTCCTGGTGCAGCACAATCAATTTATAGGAAATGTACCTTATTGTTTGTGTGAATTAACTTTTCTTTTTTTTTTTTTTGCAGAAGTGGCAGGACATCATTAAAGAAGTTAAGTTTTTGGGACAGCTGCGACACCCAAACACCATTGAGTACAAAGGCTGCTACTTGAAAGACAACACTGCCTGGGTTTGTGGGCCCTTCTTCAAGCACTCCTTTGTTGTTTTTGTCTTTATTTATCCAGACGTCCTTCAGATTACTCTTTATCTGCATGTAGTGTTAATAATACACATTTTCAGCCTATGATAAGTTTGCAACACCAGTTTAAACAAATTTGACCAGATGCTCTGTATCCTAGGTGGCAAAACCATGTGAGCTGTTTGTTTATTTTTCTATTTCAGCTGGTGATGGAGTATTGCCTGGGCTCCGCATCAGATTTATTAGAGGGTGAGCATATGAAGCTGCATACCTTTTCATGCAGTGTCTCCTTATTGAAGTGGGTGATTGTGGCTTTGAATGGATCTTCTGCTGATCCAGAAGGCGACATTGATATTTCAGAACTAAAATGAAAGCTGGCGCGGTGGAGTAAACAACGCTGTTGTCTGTTCAGCTGAATTTCAAATACAAGCTTGATGTGTGTAAAATAGCACTCTTGTTGTGCAATGTTTCTGCTTAGTCTTTATAAATTAATGAAGGGTTGACTGTTTGTCCCACTATGAGAGAAAAACATTTGGGTTTGTTTTCCATGCACTAAATACATCTAACGCTGTCCCAAAAGAGTTTTCTTTAAAAAAATGTATGTTTGTTACTGTGATTCTGATATTAACTCTCATTATTATAGATTTAAACATAAACTATGCTTATGATAACAAGCTGATGAACGTTTTTTAGTCAGGCTATCTGCTCTTGTAGTCAGCCTGCTTTTAGTTTCCTAACAGACGCTGATCATAGTTTGCTGACTATAGTAACACTGCTCATTTCCACTAACCGCTATGGTTCGTTTTCACATGATGACAGTATGTGTTTTTTGCAACTGCCTTTTTTCCAAACACTTGAATTTGTCTTGTAAAAGATTGAAAGATTTATGAGCATGCAGAGCACAGTAATAGGAAGAGCAGCACTGTGTTACTATAAGGTTCGTGCAACCAGTAAAACCTCTGGTCACCAAGATTTTAGGCCCTAAACATGGGGTAATTTGAAGGTTTAGCGGATTTGAAGACATAACTTTTAAGAAACTTTGGCTTACCTTCATGCTGGTAACTGTCCCAAGCCTGGGTTCAAGAACAGAGGGTTCAAACAGGAGGATTTCGTTGCTTTTTTGTGCTTTTGATCTTTGTTCCCTTGCAAATCAAACCATCTTCAAACGAGTAAAGATTTGGTCTCCCTTAGAGTAGTCTTTAGCCATCATGAAACTTCTCAATCAAAATTAAATTAATTTTTTACATTGGCACATAATCTTGCTGTTTTTACTAACCACCCATAAGGAACATTTTCTCTGTGTGACATCATTAGATTTGTTTAACTTTCATTTCTGTATTTTCTCTGAAGTTCATAAGAAACCACTGCAAGAGATGGAAATTGCTGCCATTACCCACGGTGCCTTGCTAGGACTGGCTTACCTACATTCCCATAATATGATTCACAGGTGAGTCAGTTAACTTGCTTGCTTAAAACATTTTCCGTTAGGAAACTGCAGTGAATAAGTCCAATAATGTAAGGTTAGTAATGACACTCCTATTTTTCCACACAAGCTGAAGGTTTGTTATCAAGCTGTAAAACACTCATGTCTGCAATCATTCTCAAAAAAAGTACAGGGATAATTAAAGTAAATCTTTTCTTTTACTAGTGAGATGATATCAGACTGAGATGAATATTGTATCTGTAAGTGAGCATGTCAGGAACAAGTGCAATAAGGATGTTTATCTTTACTGACTCACCTTTGTGGAAATATAAAGCCGTCACCCCAGCTAAACAAAATACAACTGTATCACTTTATAGTGTCAAAACTTTTTCCACGTTTGTACAAATATGGGTTCTTGTTATTCACTGTACTTACAATAAATAAGTATTACATTATACCAGATATCTTTTCGTGTTCTCAAAAGAAAATCTATTTTTTATGAACAGGTTAATTCATGGTGCAATCTTCAAAGATATTGTCAGATAACTTTCATATATATATATATATATTTTTTTTTTTTCCCCTGAAAGGTATCAATAAATTTGTACCTGGAACTGGTTTGTTTTGTTTGTTTGTTTGCTTTTTTTGATTAACCCACATAATGTCACCTTTTCTCTCTTCCCTCATGCCATGTCCTCACCCAGAGATGTGAAAGCTGGTAATATCCTGCTGACTGAGCTGGGTCAAGTCAAACTGGCTGACTTTGGCTCTGCCTCCATTGCCTCACCTGCCAACTCCTTTGTTGGAACACCTTACTGGTCAGTATACACAACACAGGGTAAAAAACCCAACAAAATGCAATTTTCTAAGAAGTCAAATAAACTTTACGAGCATACGTTTTCCTGGAAAAGCTCTTTTAACCACGGACACAAATACAACATTTGAAAGAGAAAAACGCAACATAGACAATATAACATGATTCTATTTAAAAAGGACTTTAATTTTATAAGACTAACAATAACTTTTTTGGTTGTTTTCCAATGA